TCCCTCCCTCCCTCCCTGCAGCCCTGCAGCTGGCCCTGGACGAGAAGCTCTTCGGGCAGCACTTGGCCACAGAAGTCATCCTGAAAGCCGTGACCGGCTTCGTTAACAACCCCAACCCGAAGAAGCCCCTGGCCCTCTCGCTGCACGGCTGGGCCGGGACGGGCAAAAACTTCGTGAGCAAGATCGTCGCCGAGAACCTTTACAAAGCCGGGCTGAGCAGCAGATTCGTCCACCTTTTCGTCTCCACACTGCATTTTCCGCACGAGCATCAGGTCCAACTGTACAAGGTGAGAGCGAAACCGGATTCGCTGCTTGGGGCCTCGGGAGCAGGGGGGGACTTTTTTTTTTTTGCAAAATCTTTGTCAGAATCACAGTCAATTCCAGGCTGGTTTTGTGTCCATTTTACAGACTGGCAAAGTGAGGCTAAGAGACTAAGTCTTTCATCCCTGTGCAGCTAAAATCCTAGAGAATTGTTACTAAGGGAACCAATAGGAGGACCCCCCCCCCTTTTCCCCAGATCGGGGGAAGGAAAGGAGCTGGAAAACAACCGTTGCCATCATGGCTCAGTGGCGTCTCCACGACTCATGTGTCGCTGGGTAGTGCAAGCAGGAAATGCAGTAGATTATTTTGTCCTCTGGTGCCCTTCCCAGGGGTGAGCCAAAAAACAAGTTTAGCCGGTCCCTTTTTATAGAAAAACCTGTGACTTGTAGGAAAGAGGAAGGAGTTGGAAGGAGTGCCCCAAGGGGAAGAATAGAAAGTGAAACTTTAAATGTTCTGGGTATCATTGGAGACCAAGGATTCTGGTCTGTATGCTGGCTGGGGAATTCTTTAAATGTTCTGGAAGAACTAACCAGAGTTAAAACCAACCACGTTTGGGGCTTTGCAAAAGTAGCCTCTGGATCTTGCATCATCAGGCATATCAGCGTCTTTATGGCAGAGCCTCCCCCCTTCTGCTTTAGATAGCTGTATTGTCCGTTACGAAGCATGAGATAAAACGTAGTTTACAGCTGCTTCTTCAAGCCTGCATGCGTTAAAGATCCAACCAGTGGCCTGTTTGCTAACCTTGGTCGAACGTGCACCTCTGGAGCCGTTCGGTTTTGCATTTTAACACGTCAGTCGGCACCCCCTGGCGTAAAACGGAGTTTGCTGCTGGGGAAAATGGATATGTGGGGTCATGCCTGGGACATAAATCTTCCTAGCTGTGCTAATTCCACTTTTTCTTAGCAGCACAGCAGTGGTTGAAACTGACTAGGTCTGTTTCTCAATCTCAGCAACTTTAAGGTGTGTGGACTTCGACTCCCAGAATTCCCTAGCATGCTGGGTGCAGAACCCCCAGAATTC